CTTCTAAGGAGTCTTCCCCCCTCCCCCATAACCCCCCTCTGCGCGTGGTTGAGTGTTGTGTTGGTATGATGATGCTTCCCCTTTGGCTGGGATCGAAATAAGCAGTGTTTTTCGTGTTCGACCTGGGATCCATGTTTGCGATCGCCTGAAAGCAGGGTGTTCCTTGGCATGGGCCTCCACTGTACGGATACAGTGTTGCCCCGGAGGGGGCCGAGTAAGTGCCTGCCTGCCGAAGATCGATCCCCCAAGCAGTGGCTAGGGTTAGGTCGGGCCTGTCCCCTTACAGGGCGATTTCGGACAAAAGATTCAAACTAGACAGAAAATACTCCAAAATTGTCAAATATTATCCCAGCAAAGCAACCTAACGGCGATGTGTAGAAGCATATCTGAAAGCATTCCCCTCAAGATTCAGATGAAAATCCAGTTGTCGAATTCTGCTGTTCTCGCAGTCGTAGTCGCATTCGCGATGACAGTCGCAGCGGCAACGGCAGTCGCAGTCACAGCCTCAGCCTCAGCCTGCCTCAGCCTCAGCCTCAGCCTGCCTCAGCCTCAGCCTGCCTCAGCCTCAGCCTCAGCCTGCTTCAGCCTCAGCCTCAGTCTGCCTTCAGCCTCGGCCTCAGCCTCAGCCTGCCTCAGCCTCAGCCTGCATCAGCCTCAGCCTCAGCCTCAGCCTGCCTCAGCATCAGCCTGCCTGCCTCAGCCTCAGCCTCAGCCTGCCTCAGCCTCAGCCTCAGCCTGCTTCAGCCTCAGCCTCAGTCTGCCTTCAGCCTCGGCCTCCTGCCTCAGCCTCAGCCTGCCTCAGCCTCAGCATCAGCCTGCCTCAGCATTCAAAATGTGGCCCGGGAATGGAGTTCTGGGAACTCGAAGAACACGAAGTGGCCTACAGTTGGCTCCGGGCATTCAAAATCATGCCCAGGAATGGAGTTCTGGGAACTTGAAGAGCACGAAGTGGCCTACAATTGGCTCCGGGCATCCAAAATGTGGCCCGGGAATGGAGTTCTGGGAAGTCGAAGAGCACGAAGTGGCCTACAGTTGGCTCCGGGCATCCAAAATGTGGCCCAGGAATGGAGTTCTGGGAGCACCAAGAGCGATTTTGCGAGGATGTCCCAAGCGATTTCGGCTTCGGCGGCAGCCGTTCCGGGTCCCGCCCCGAGCCCCCTGTGGAGTCATCTGCTGCTCTCTTTTGAGACCACTAGAAACCTATCAGCAAGAGCTGTTAGGTAAAAAGAAACATCGTCCCCAGACTAGTGTCTGACTATTTTTGAATCTTCCTCC